ACCCAGGGGGATAGCTTGAGGCTCCATCTCAAAAAAAAAAAAAAAAAAAACTATGTAATTAGGGGAATTAATATAATTTTATTATTATGCATACAATAGTTGAAATCTAGAATTTTTTGTCAGTGAAAAATTTGAGCAAGTATTCTACTTAAATTGATCAAATATATGACCAAGTTAAATACATAAGCATAGTACTAATAAGTGAATACTTTAGCACATTTAATTCTTACTTGTGCTCTAAGACCTGTGTCGCTCTCCATATCACTTTGAGCCTTAGCTCCATTTTCTAAATTTCTGGGTCCAAAGCTAATTAGGAAGCCTAATAACCGCGCATGCTTACTGAGCCATGTCCATGTGTTCTTTGTGTACGAGTACTCAGAAGAACCTGAATGGGTATGCTGTGCTTCTCTGGCTCTTGACCAATATAAAGTTTTGGATATTTTCTAGCCAACAGAAAATTGTTGCTGGCCATCTCTATGAGCCGCACCCTAGATTTTTAAAAGCATTTTGTCTCAGCCTGAGAAATTTATAGGGACTAATTGTAAAGCATGTCAGTACAACATTGACTTGTGACTTCATTGTCAGCTATTCATTCTGCAGAAAAACATCATGAGTGAATTTCCTTATTAATGCATGGAAGCTCCATTTAGCCACTTCCTTTGTTAAGACATGCAGGCATTGGTGCTGCAGGTTGCACAGGAAGCAACACGGGGTACATAGGTTGACACTGGTGTTACCTTATGTTCTGGAGCTCTCACAGGTGCCATGTTCTTTCCTACCTTCATTCTTTCATTGATAACATTTTCTAATATAGTGTTCTTCTTTTCTCTGTAAAGAAGAAATCTCTGAAAGTACAAATCACAGACTTTGATTATAAAACCTACTTGATGAATCAGGTAATCTTTTCTAGGAAGAATCTGTAAACTATCCTCATCCTACCTTTGGATTTCCTTAGCCCTAAGTTGATGGTATTTTAAGATTTTTCTCTCTTTCAAACATGTTCTGTTTGTCTTGTTTAGATCATTTAGATTGTAAGCTCTGAGAATGAAATTTTTGCTAGCAGTTAACATGGTACTATCAGACACTTACTAGATATTTTACAAAGCCTTGAAAAAGATAAGGTAATGTTCTTATTTTGATCTACTTCATGGATTATCTGTGAGACTTTATGAAACAGCTAAGATTAAAAGGTGGTTTTGTTCTTACTGGTCTAGTGAAGTTGTGATATATTTCTATTTTGGTTATTGGGAACTTCAAGATTAGAGATAAGCTAGAGCCGACTTCTACCGGCTCACAAGAATCAATTGTGCTGAGGCAGGAGGATCTCTGGAGGCCAGGAGTTGGAGACCACCCTGAACAACATAATGAGAACCCATCTCTACAAAAAACTTTTAAAGATTAACTGGGTGTGGTGGCACATACCTGTAGTCCTAGCTGTTTGGGAGACTTGAGGTGAGAGGATCGCTTGAGCCCAAGAGTTCAAGGTTGCAGTGGACTGTGATGATATCACCTGAACTCTTGCCCAAATGACAGCAAAAACAGACCCTGTTTCAAAAAAAGAAAGTGCACATACTGTGTCTATTCCCCAGTGACCTCATACTGGCAACTTGAAATCTGCCATGATGAGAGTATTTATCTCACAGAAATCAGCAAGAGATACAGTTAGCCAAACACAGCAAGGACTTCCTACAATCTAATATTGAAAGATTAATATGTACTGCATCTACAGAATTGAGGGAGAAAAGTTACCTTCAAATTATAGATCCATAAATAGTGACTAAGGCCAACACCTATTTGTAATTTCTTCTAAAACTTCATAAACTAGGAATAGAAAAGCACTTCTTTTTTTTTTT